AAACTAACACAGACTAAGGTGGAAAAGTTGAACAGACCCATAACAAAAGAAGAAATTGAACAGGTCATCAAAAAATTACCAACAAAAAAAAGCCCTGGCCCAGATCGTTTCACCTGAGAATTCTATCATGTTCAGAGAAGTGACACCAATCCTACTCAAACTATTCCAGAACACAGAAAAGGATGGAATCCTCCCAAGTTCATTTCATGAAGCAAGCATAACTTTGATACCAAAACCAGGCGAAGACACCACTAGAAAGGAAAACTATAGACCAATATCCCTTATGAATACAGATGAAAAATCTTCAACAAAATTCTAGCCAATGGACTCCAACAACATATTAAAAACATAATACATTATGACCAAGTGGGGCTCATACCAGGTATGCAACGATGGTTCAGCATTAGAAAAACAATCAACGTCATCCATCATATAAATAAAACAGAGGAAAAGAACCACATGATCATATCAATCGATGCTAAAAAATATTTGATAAAACCAACACCCATTCCTGATAAAAAAAACTCTCTGCAAAATAGGAATAAAAGGGACATTCCTCAACATAATAAAGGGCATATATGGAAAAGCAACAGCTAACGTTATTCTCAATGGAGAGAGACTGAAACCATTCCCCTTGAGAACAGGAACCAGACAAGGATGTCCTCTATCACCACTTCTATTCAACATTGTATTGGAAGTCCTAGCAAGGGCAAAAAGGCAAGAAAGGGAAATCAAAGGCATCCAAACTGGTAAGGAAGAAGTTAAACTATCCCTATTTGCTGATGATATGATCCTATACATAGAAAACCAAGACATTGTGTAAGAACTAATTGAGAGATTTAGCATAGTAGAGGGATACAAGATCAACATGCAAAAATCAGTTGGATTCCTCTACACCAGCAAAGAGATTGCTGAAAAAGAAATAAGGAAATCAGTACCATTTATAATAGCTAGACTGCTAACCAGAAGGCTGGTGGTTCAAACCCACCAGCCTCTCCTCAGAAGGAAGGTAATGATACTGCCTTGGAAACCCAAAGAGGAGTTGCTATGGGTTGGGTCTGACTCAATGGCACATAACAAAACAACCAAAAAAATAAAATACTTGGGAATAAATCTTACCAGGGACACAAAAGACCCGTACAAAGAAAACTACAAAATGCTACTTCAAGAAACCATAAGAGATCTACATAAATGGAAGAATATACCATGCTCATACGTAGGATTGACATTGTGAAAATGTCAATACTACCAAAAACAATCTGTACATTCAATGCAATCCTAACACAGATCCCATCAACATTCTTTAAGGATATGGAAAAATAAATTACTAATTTTATTTGGAAAGGAAAGAGACCTCACATAAGCAAAGCACTATTGAAGCAGAATACTGAAGTAGGTGGTCTTACACTCTTGGATCTCAAAACCAAGTATACAGCCATAGTAGTCAAAATATCCTGGTATTGGTACAATGGCAGACACATAGACCAGTGGAATAGAATTGAGAATCCAGAAATAGATCCACCGACCTATGGTCAGCTGATCTTTGACAAAGGGCTGAAATCCATTAAATGAGGGAAGACACAGTCTCTTTAACTAATGATGCTGGCAAAACTGGATATCCATTTGCAGAAAAATGAAACAAGATCTGTGTGTCATACCATACACAAAAACTAACTCCAGACAGATCAAAGTCTTAAGTATGAAGCCTAAAACTATAAAGTTACTCAAGGATAAAATAGGGGCAAATTTAGGGGTGCTTATATATGTCATAAATAGACTATCAAGCATAACCCAAAATGCACAAACAGCAGAAAAGAAACTAGATGAATAGGACCTTCTGAAAATTAAATTTTTATGTGCTTCCAAAGACTTCCTTAAAAGAGTAAAAAGAGAACCTATAGATTGGGAAAAAATATTCAGCAATGACATATCTGACAAGGTCTACATATCTCTAAAATTTATAGAAAACTCCAAAACCTCAACAATAAAATTACACACAATCCAATTTAAAAATGGGCAGAAGACATGAATAGACACTTCACCAAAGAGGATATTCAGGCGGCCAACAAGCAAATGAAGAAATGTTCATGATCATTAGCCATTAGAGAGATGCAAATCAAAACAACAATGAGATACCATCTTGCCCCAGCACTAATAGCAAACAAGACAGAAAATAATATGCTGGCGAAGTTGTGGATTGGGATCTCATACGCTCCTGGTGGGACTGTCAAATGATACAACCACTGTGGAAAGCAGTATGCCAATTCCTTAAAAAGTTGGAATTAGAAATACCATTTGACCCAGCAATCCCATTACTAGGTATATATCCTAAAGAAGTGAGAGCCAGGATGAGAACAGATACATGCACACCCATGTTCATCACAGCACTATTCACAATAGCAAAAAGATGGAAACAACCTAGGTGCCCATCCACAGAAGAATGGATAACCAAACTATGGTACATACACACAATGGAACCCTAAAGAACAACATAGAATCTGCAAAACACCGCATAACATGGATGAACTTGGAGGACATTATGGTGAGTGAAATAAGTCAATCACAGGAGGACAAATATTGTATTAGTCTGCTATTGTGAAAAGTCAAGGAAAGGTTATATATGGAATGCAACTTTCTTTGTTGGTTACCAGAGGGGGGGCAGGGAAAGAATACTGCTAGACAGGTAGAGACAAGTATAGATTTGGGTGAAGGAAAGGGTGATGCACCAAATATGAGTGATCAACACAGTGGCAATGAGGAAGAGGAAGACATAGAGAAGGATATGGGAGATACAGACAACAAAGATGGACCCTTTTGCACATACAGTACCAAGTTATCAGTGATGGTAAACATGGATATATGGATGGATAGATGAGTGGACAGGCTGAATGATTAGGTATGTCTATGCAGGGAAAAGTGTTTAGAGTGACCATGTTTAGGGTTAGGAGCTCTGGTAGCATAGTGGCTAAAGCACTTGACTGCTAACCAGAGGGCTGGCGGTTCAAACCCACCAGCCACTCCTCGGAAGGAAGGTTGGGCAATCCTACTTCCGTAGTGATACTGCCTCGGAAACCCAAGGAGGGGTCGCTATGAGTCGGGGCCGACTCGACGGCACATAACAACAACAACAACAACAACATGTTTAGGGTTGGCAGACGACGTTTCTACAAGCATATTTGTATGTGCTGTAAGAATGTCCAGGTGTATAGCAGAACTGACAAGGGACAAGGATGTGGTGACTTCTCAGCCATACCCAGCTACCTGGAGGGAGCAAGTAGTTGGACCTATGGGCTTGGGACCATGGCCTCAGGGGACATTAAGCTCAATTAGCATAACATACTACACAAAAACATTGTTCCACATCCTACTTTGGTGAATAGTGACTGGGATCTTAAAAGCTTGCAAGCAGCCATCTAGATGCAATGATGGGTCTCTTCTCATACAGAGCAAAGAAGAATGAAGAAAACCAAAGACCCATGGAAACAATTTGTCCAAGGGACTGGTAGACCATGCGATCCTCAGCCAATATGACCATGAGACCAGAAGGACTAGATGGTGCCATTGTCAACCACTTGGAGGGGGATCTGTGTAGGAGGATCCTAGGTAGAGTGGGAGAACAATGTGGTACAAAACTTAAATTAGAAAAAAGAAAAACAAAGTTTGCTGGTCTGATAGAGCCTGGTGAAACCCCTGAGACTATGGCCCCTAGCTGCCCTTCAGGTCTGGAATTGAACTCACTCCTGTGGCTTCCAGCCAAATAAAAGGCATATGGGCTGAACATTTACATCAGGTAGTTATACTCCTTGGATCAATCATGGGAGAACAAAAGGGCAGTGTACGCACAGGGAGATTGCTCAGAGGGCAGGAGAGCATGAGACAGAAGGACACAGGGAAGAGGTAGCTATGGGGAGGAAGTGGGAAGAGAGCTGTTACATGGTGGGAAATTGCAGTCAATGTCATGAGACAAAATGTGTATGAACTGCTGTATGGAAAATGAATTTTCTCTGTAAACTTTCACCCAAATCACAATAAAAATGTAAAAAGAAGAAGAAGGCAGCACAGGAGACAAAGGTGGAAATGTTTGTCTCATCCTAAAACCGAAAAACCAAACTCTTTGCTGTTGAGTTGGTTCCAACTCATGGTTGCCCTATGTGTTCAGAGTAGAACTGCTCCCTAGGGTTTTCTTGGCTGTAGTATTTATGGAAGCATGTTGCCAGAGCTTTCCTCGGCAGTGTTGCTGGGTGAGTTCAAACTGCCAACCTTCAGGTTCAATGTTGAGTGCCAATAATTTGTGCCACCCAGGGATGTGTTCTTGCTCTGACTCTGAGCAAGTTCCTTGCTCTCTTGGCTTCTTTTCTTCAAGTGAATAATGAGGTCCTGACTTTAATGATATTGATGCACCTACCAGTTCTGAAAGGTCCCAGCTCCCCTTGGGGAGCCCTGTGGTTGTCAGCATCCAAAGATGCCCTTCTGTTTTGATATGTTGATACATTCTCCCTCTCCCACTCCCTGATATCACCTCCCCCACTCCCTGAGATCACCTCCCCACCATAGGCACAAGTGGACTAACTCTACACAAGCAAAGTTCTGCACAAGGATGTTCAAGACCTGTGGTGGGTGTGTCCTCTCCAGCTTCTTAACCCTTTGTCCTTCCTGAAGGTCCACAGGATCTTAGTTTCCCTCTGGAGACTATCAGCCTCAATATCCCACTCCTTCCCAGACTTCCTTTCTAGGAAGCTTATCCATTAGTGTCTTCTTTTGGCGTGGGTGAGGAGAAAAACAAGTTTCTCTAAAGTTAGTTCTGACTTGGGTGGCAATGACAAACCAATGACCATCAGCCTCATGATCCATGCAGTCTAGGCTTGTTTTCTGATTGCCACTATCTTTAAAGGGATGCACTAAGTTTAAAGAGCCAAATGTAGTGTGCCAGAGAACGGTGTCTGGTGGCCCAAGGGTCCATCGGCAGATGGAGCCTGAAGGTGGTAGTGGAAGGGGGCTATTTAGAGGGCTGTGGTGAGGGTATGGGCGAACACCATGTTAGCATCTATGTCTCCTTCAACCATATGGGGGTGGATGTCCACGTTCATCCCTGCATCTTTGCACAGCTTGAGCAAGGTCTTGATATTGTTCTTGGACAGCCTCAGGTATCTGTGCAAGAGAAGGCCAAAGAGGTCAGCTTAAGGGGAAGTCACCACAGCCTCTAACTTGATTGAAAAGAGCTTAGATACTAGCAGCAGTAAGTATGGGGACTCTGGAAGGCATTAGTCTTCCAGACATTTCTGAAGCTAACAAAGACTCTATAATATAAACAGCAGATACACCTCAGAGTTGATGGGAGTGTGCACTGGTATAACTCTTGGAAATCAATTTGGCAACACATATGCCAAGCACCTCCCTTTTGCCCCCCACTCCCTAAAAAAAGATTCATTGTCTTCGACTCAGTATATGTAGTCAAGTTTATCCCAAGGAGAGAAGTTAATGGAAAGAAAAATCTGTATAGATGAGAGGTGTGCATTCTGAGGTTATCAACAACAGGAAAATGGGGAAATTTCATCAACAGAGGAATGAGAAAGTAAATAATGGAATATCTCACTTCAAGGACTCTTCTGCCATACTTAAAGTGACATTAAGGAAGATGAAGGTGCAACATGGTTGTGACATTATGCTAAGTGGGGAGAGAAAACAGGAATGTGAATTTTCACTTGTGTCTTATCAATGCATATGTGTGTACTCTGAATGATGCTAAAGGCTGGGAAACGACAGGAAAATGGAAACAATGGCTGAACAAAGTTGTAGGATTAGAGATAAATACTTTCTTTCAATAATCAAACAGTCAACAAGTAGGCATTGATTAAAAATATTAACTAAAGCCCCAGAATCCTGACTTATACTGGGGAATAGAATTGATCCCATTCCCATTGTACTGCATGATCCAGAGAGCATCTCTGCCACCATATCCAGAGAGCTCCTGTTCCACCATCAGCCCTGGCCCTGCTCCCAGCTTTAGTATGAGGGGGTAAAACCTCTACCCAGGCCATCTACTCTTTGACTACTTTGCTACAAATGGTCAGAGAGCTATCTGTAGAAAAACATGTTGATGTGCCCCCTTGTTTTCTACACATCAGGAATGGTCTCCTTTCTCCTTCAAGATCTGCTTAGAGCTTACCTGTTCTTACAGGCAACTCGGACCCCACTCACAAATTCTCATACTCTGACCACCTTCACTAAGAGTTCCTGCCACAACCCATCCCTTCTTTATGACTAAGATCCCATTCTGGTCAATGTCATTTATGTGGATGATTTTTTAAAGGTTTCATTGATGTCATTTTTCCAGGTACTCCATTTCCCATCCTCTCATTTCCTCATCATGGGCCCAGGTAGGCTGTCTTCTGACCACAGGGCCCAGGTATGATGTCAGAACTGCCCTGACAACCTGCAAACCATAGCCAAAATCAACTGGCCAGGGAATCAGCCAGCCAGCAAGGGTAAGAAACCACTTTGAGCTCGTGGCGTCTGCCTGTTCATCTTTCAGCCAGTCAGTTTAGTCATCCCACCCAATCCTCCCTCAGCCAGTCAGTGACTACAGCCAGACTTGATGATGGAGCCGTTAGGATGCTAGGCATTTGCGGACATCTGAAATTAGAGATGAGTTTACTGCCACCAATGCCAGAAGGCCAACTACATTTTTCTGTTTGCCCAGTTTCCCCTACCATTCAAGTTTCTGAGTTTCACCAGTTACTTCGTACCAGTAAAGGATAACACTGGGCTTGGGAGAGGGAAGCAGTTCCTGGGTGGTGCAAATATTTAACCATTCAGCTGCTAACTGAAAGGTTGGAAGTTCAAGTGCACCTAGAGTGCCTCAGAAAAAAGGTGTGGCAATCTGCTTCCAAAAAATCAGCCACTTAAAACCCTATGGAGTGCAGTTCTACTCTGACACATATGAGTTCATGGTAAGTTGGAATCAATTTGATGGCAACTGGTCTTTTTCTTCCCCCCAGGAAGAGGGAGGCTTGGATTTTTTGGGGAGAAAAGCAGGCTGTTTGGTGTGGCTGAGAATCAATGATTCTTGATAACTAAGACAGAGAGCAAGTGAGAAGACAGACCTTTTGGTGAGAACCATAAATACCAAATGGTTTCACACTTTGTTCACGGCTCCTTTGGGAGTCTGAAACTCTAAACATACAGCAGGTAGCCACTGGGGATGGTGGCTACTATCACCAGCAATTCAACATCATAGCAAACACACCCCTGAGGGGAATTCCCTGTTAAAACAAGGCCATAAACAACTCATTCTTTCTTTTTTGAATAGTGTCACTGGTTTGTATTGAGAAATAAACCAAAACAGCAAAGAGTTGGAACACACAACACCAAAATGGCAGCACATGCCCCCACCCCCCAAAAAATCCAGTGCCATCCAGTCAACTCCAACTGATAGTGACCCCCTTGGGATTTCTGAGGAGGTCAGTCTTTACGGAGCAGATTGCCCAGGCATGCCCATCCAGGAGGGGGTCTGCGAGTGGGGCGGCTGCTTGCTGTGAAGCCCCAGTGGCTCCAGGCCAGAGCAGTCCTCTGGGACTCAAGGATAGCTCTCAGCTGTGCCAAATCCACCCTGCCAGACCTCCAGGCTCCAGCCCCAAATTTTGAGCCAGAGGCAGCCCTGAAAGTTGTCTCCTCCCTGCCCACGTGGAGCCTCTCACCGGCAACTCAGCACCTCCTCCGGCTTCAACATTTTGACAGTCTCCATTTTGGGCTCGGTGCCCTTCTCCATGAGGGACTTCAGCTTGCGCTCGTAAGAGGTATCAGGCATCTTGGTTGGCCACTCTCTCATGAGCGTGCTCCTCCGTGGGGGAAAGAGACTATCCTGGAATACAGGATCTAAACTGCTTTGTTGACGGTGTGTGCCTCCCCGTGGAGAGCTCTCCATGGCCATTGCATCCTTCTTGTCTAAATCTGAAATGGAATGAATGCTAGAGGTGAGAGGGATGGGAGGCAGGAAGAGGATGGAGGCTGAATGATTCATGGGCTTCAAAACTGTACCTGGTCTGAGTGGGAGGCCTTTTCAAGGCTTCGTTAGGATCTGCTTTTTTAGCATTTTACTCAGTTTTTTCCTTCCTCCTTTCTCTGCCTTCCCAACTCCCTCCTATCCCCCTCTTTCCTGTCCTTTCTCCTTCCTTCTATCTTTCTTTACTCAATCTTTTCTCCACTTCTTCTCCAGAGGGACTTCATCTATAAGAAATTAGCCTAGGGGAGGTTTGGGAAGGTGTAAGAGAAGATGTACTGTGAGCTAAGTTTTAAGGGATAAATAGTTTGCTAGATGGAAAAGAGACTATTGCAGGCAGAAGAAACAGCAGATGCCAAGGCACAAATGTATGAAAGGAATGGAGAGTATCTGAAGAAGAATGTGATGTCAGGATTGGAGGAAGAGTCCTTAATACCAATGATTTCATTATACTTGAGCCACAGTCAGTGTCCATAGACATACCAGCCAAGAAACCAAATGACATGTTGCTTTGGGCAAATTGGGTACAAAGACTTCTTTAAAGTTTTTAAAAGCAAAGATGCCAGTGATGCCTCAGGTGTGCCTGACCCAAGCCATGGTCTTGTGCATGTGAACCTGGACAACGAAGAAAGAAGACAGATAAAGCACTGATGCATTGGAACTATGGCATTGGTGGAGAATATGGAATATACCATGGACTTCCAGAAGAATGAGCAAACCGGTCTTAGAAAAAATACAATGAGAATTCTTAGAAGTGAGGTTGGCAAGACTTTGGCTTGTTTATTTGAGACATGTCCTTGGGCAAGACCAGTACTGGAAAAGGACATCATGGTTGGTAAGGTAGAGGGGTCAGCAAAAATGAGAGAAACCTTCAACGAGATGGGTTGACACACTAGTGCTAACAATGGACAATGACGGCCCTGATCATGAAGATGGCACAGGCTCAGAGAGTGTTTCATTCTGTTAACACAAGGTCGCCATGAGTTGGCGCTGACTCCACAGCAACTGAGAACAGCAACAACTGAATGAAATACTGTTGGGGTTAGAACTTGGAGACCTTATTTTTTTCTCATCTGGTTAAATTTGCTCTTAAATATTTTACAGATTTTTTTTTTTTCTCATGGAATGGAATGGAGATATTTCCTGCCTATTTCCATTTCTAGTTTGTTCTGACTGTTGTTAGGGCTAGTTGAGTTTGTTCTGATTCATAGCGAGGTTATGTACAAAAGAACAAAAAATTAACTGGTCTTGTGTTTCTATACTAGTTATGGATTATATATAGAAAAAAAATCTGTTGTTTTAAAAAAATACGTAGTTGTCTAATACATTGCTAACCATACCACATTTCACTAATTTTTACTGGAATATCTTGAGTTTTGTAGATATGCAATTATATCATCAGGGTAAAAAGAAAGTATCTTCCTGCACCACTCAGGGACTCCCTATATCCTATATAACCCACTGTCACAGAGTCACTTCTGACTCATAGCAACCCTATTGGACAGAGTAGAACTTCCCCATGTAGTTTCCAAGGCTGTAAATTTTTATGGAAGCAGACTACCTCATCTTTCTCCTGTGGAGCACCTGTTGAGTTTGAACAACTGACCTTTTGGTTAGCAGCTGAATGCTTTAACTGCTACACCACCACAGCTTCTTTCTCTCTTTCTCTCACTGCCATCAAGTTTATTCGACTTATAGCAACCCTTCCTTGGGTTTTCGAGGCAGTATCTTTACAGAAGTAGATTGCCCAATCTTCCTTCCGAGGAGTGGCTGGTGGGTTTGAACCGCCAGCCTTCTGGTTAGTAGTCAAATGCCTTAGGCACTACACCACCAGAACTCCTTTATATAGTGTATATGTTGTTGTTGTTGTTATGTGCTGTTGAGTCGGACCCGACTCATAGTGACCCCTCCTTGGGTTTCCGAAGCAGTATCACTATGGAAGTAGATTGCCCCATCTTCCTTCTGAGGAGTGGCTGGTGGGTTTGAACTGCCAGCCTTCTGGTTAGCGGTCAAGTGCCTTAGGCACTACGCTACCAGAGCTCCCATATTGTATATAGGTATATGTAATATTCTATTACAATTCTGTTAATGTATTTCTTATTTTTGCTTATATATCCTTTCTCATAAAAATCTTGTACATTTTTTGTCTTTATTTTTAACAAGGCTCATGATAACTTCATTTTACTTGTCAATGGCTTTTGTAAAGAGCCAGCTTTGGATTTCTCCTTTTAACTGTTTTTGTCTTGTATTAATTTCAGTTGAAATATAATGTATTCCTTTTCTCTTATATTAATTCTTATTAAATTAAGAGATGTGCTAGTATTTTTCATTTGTTTATTTTTTGTTTGATAAAAACAAGAACAATTATTTAACATTTAATTTTTAGTGTAAATTGTCATCTGAAAACAGATTTTGCCTCAGTTTTGTAGGTGTTTGTATGAGACTGGCTAAGATTAGTTTTCGCTCTGACCTGAGGGTAATTTAGAAGTATGCTTCTTATTTTTCAGTTTTTAAGTTTGGAGGTATCTTCTTTTAGTTCATTTGTAATTTTTGGTTTACAGTAACATAATGTTGCCCTAAAACCTTGACTCTTTTGAAAGTTAATAGTAACATTCTTTGGCCATATAAAAATGCACGTTCTCTATTCAGATGATGGGAAGCTGTGGTTTGCTAACTGCATTCCTAGATTCTTCTCTGTACCTCCCTTATTATCTATTTGGTCTACTTTTTTTTTTCTGTTCTGAAAGAGGTATATTAAAATGTCCCACTAAAACTATACTTTCATCAGATTCTCCTTGCATTTCTAGATGTTATGCTTTATTATTTAGCTACTATATTTTTTAGTGCATATAAGTTTATGATTATCATTTGTTCTTTTCAAGACTTTAAAACAGCTTTCTATGCCATATGTGTTTCGTTTAGTCTTAATTCCACCTAGTCTGATATTAACATCATCATTGGAGTTTTGATTACATTTTCATTTGCTTGGTCTTTCAGTGTGTATCTAGATTTTGCCTTTAAAACCAATTATTTCCTAATTTGGTATCTCTGTATCTTTGAGGAGTCCCTGGGTGGTGCAAATGGTTAAGTGCGCAACTACTAATGAAAATGCTGGCTGTTCAAATGCACTCAAAGGAAGCAAGCCCTGGTGATCTGCTTTTGAAAGACTTGAAAACTCTATGAAGTCCAGTTGTATTCTCCACATATAGGGTCTCCGTGAGTCAGAATTGACTCAATGGCAAGTTTGTTTTTCTAGTTTGGGTATACTCTATTTTCGAGATAATGGGATACATGGCTGATAAATCCCAACATTTTTCTAAATCTTCTAATATCATTCATTTGCCCTGCAGTGACATATATGTGCTGGGGATAGGATTATAGGGTTGTAGACCTCTACTCTCAGTAGAATGTAGGTGTCATTCCACTTGCAGGGCGATGCCAGTCTGATTCTTTTTCCTTTGTAACTAAATTGTTCTTTCTCTATATCAACTTGCAAGATTTCATCAAAAGGTTCAAGAATTTTATCAGGACATGCCTAGTGGTAATGAGTCTAGACTCCATGGCAACTAAAGACAACACAATGAGACAAATGAGTTTAAACCTCTTACAATTATACAAATGGAGGGACAGTGGCATGGAAAGACAGTGTGACTTGCTCAAGGTCTCACAATGAGTTAGTGACTGAATTGGGACTCTTTATGCCCAGTATGGTCTCTAGCTTGGAAGCTGGTCCCTGGCAGGGTGATTATCAAGGGACCTTAGCATTCCCTGCCTGTGAGTGGTGGAAATTGCTGCTATGCTCTGAGAGAATCATGAGCTGAATGTCCTCTTTGAGACAAATTGGAAAGCTTTTGGAGAAATTATAATAACATTTCCTGAGACATCTTCCAATAGTCTTCTGGGTCAAAGTTTGCCTCATGTGGACAAGAATAATAGCAATATAAAAGGTAACAATAATTATATATAAATAGCTAATATTTGTTGAATGCTTATTTTGTGTGTCAGGTGGTGGTCAAGGGGCTTCTAGGGAGTGGGACACTATTAGTCTCACATATATTTAATGTATCATATACATTTTAACAAATGAGCAAGTTGAGCATCTGAGAGATTAAGTAACATGCCCAAGATCCCATGGCTAAGTAGTGGTGAATCCAGGATGTGAGCTCAGGTTGTCAGAGTCTTTCTATGGGAACCTGTCCTGGCCTCCCTTTTATACAAAATTGACCCTCACCCTTGGGCCTGTGGATTAACAGAGAAGTTATATCACTATTGGCCATGTTTGGGTCTCTGGGGGCTGGCTTTGCCCTCATAGAGATGGTGGGGGTTACTGCCCTCATCCCTCTGCATTAGGAATGCATCCTTGGTCTGACTTCTCCAGAATGCCCTGGAACAGGTGCCTAGGAAGGGAAAGCCCAATGAACTACCTTTCTCTAGCCTAGCTGCTTATACTTTGCCTAGAATTTCTTTAGAAATGTGTTCTGATTGCTTTCTCAGAAGCTTTTATTGGGCCATAACCAGAGTGATCTTTCTAAAATTCAAATCCAACATAGCAACTTCCTTCTTAAATTTTCAATGGTTTTCTATTCCATTCAGTGCCAAACTGAGAGACTTCTACTCTCAGCCAAGGTGGAGTAATAGGTATTGTATTTATACTTTCCCTTTAAAGAATTAAGAAAAAAAATAGGCATGTTATATGAAACAGCAGTTTTCATACATTGGACAAGAGGCAACATAGGATAGTGATCCTTATGAGATGGGAGACAAATGAGGTGGGTCCCATGATTGTCCTAGCTGGGAGACACTTATAGTTTGCATCACAGAGAGTGAGGGTACTCAGGCAAAGCTGCTCAGAAGTTTCTTTGAGTAGGGAAGAGAGAGTAGATAATTTGGGCATGGCAAGGGTGCTAAGGGACACCAGAAATCGAGCTGGTGGCGGGTTTGGAACAGCTAA